CTTTGGTTGGTAGAAATTTAATTATTTCAGAAATTAATGAATCAGTTCAGCACGATGGATGATTCTTCTGTCGCGCGAGATCTTTATTTACTAAATTGCGAGATCTCTATTAAAATTTAATTGAAACTCCTGTTATAGGACACGTTGCTGCTTAAGCGACATCCACAATGAGATTTTAAGGCGTAAAACTTAAGTTTTAAGCTTCAAGCCATAAGAAATGGACCAATCATAGACGATTGTTCTCCTCACATTCGACTGTGATTGGTCAATTTCTTACAACTTGAGGCTAAAAGCTTAAAGTCTCGTTGTAGACGCCACTTTACACAGTCACTGTTCCTTCGGCAACCTTTGCTTTTTCCTCTATAACGTTAAAGCGAAAATATGGCATGAAAGAGTCTGCCCTCACCTTTTCTTCTGGTCCTTCGTCACGTGGTCATCGGGCAGGTACGCATCAGCTGATGCACGTGCGTGGGTGAACCTTATTGACTGACTGACTGACTGACTAACTGCTCGTCCCTTGGGCGATCTACTATCGCTCGACACGAACGATTTTGTGGCTGTTATTATCGACTCCATCATGCGTTGCAAGTTTCGTTTTGCCCCGGTTAATTCTTAAAATACATTTTTATATTAATTTTATAATAATTATAACGATCGCTCTTACAATTCGAAAGAAGGTGTTGTGCCACGTTTCTTTCTTTCTTTATTAAAAGAAGAATCTTGATGTTTTTTTTTTCATATTTAATAATGAAACTTTTCTGTGCAACAATTCGTAATTGATTACAATATGAGTCGAAAGTTGGAAACTTCAATGGCCGGCTCGATCGAAGCGTGCATTAATAAAACAGGCCACATCACTTCGCATTAAGGATGGCCCGTGAAAGCGTGACTTTTGTTCGCATTATAGCGAATGAGGAAGGAACAGAGCGGGAGCCATTCATGTTGGTTCTACTTACGAGTAATTATCCAATGTTACTTTTTAAAATATTCGCATAGCCTCCAATTTCTCCAATTTCGAAATACAGCTTACAAGAGTAATACCCTGTTATTTAATTCCTGACTACAACTTTGAAGAGATTTCGACTCTGCATGCTTGCGATATCTTTCATAGTCTCGTTCGCGTATTCGATGTCATTTTACATAAATTGGGCTGCATCGCGACTATCGCAAGTCGCAACGAGCCTATCGGTGTCCTTCCGTGACTCGTCTATTTTTACCGCGTTCTCTCATTCCTGAACGTGCCACCCGGCGCATAGTTACGAACGTTCTCGGGATTAGGTAACGCGTTTCCGCGACAGCTACGAGGACGGTGGGTGAAAATTTCGCGGCCGCCTTCGCGTCGAAAGGAGGAAGAGGAAACCGCGAATAACGAGCGACGACACCCTGCCGCCGATGACGACGCTGCATTTACATGTAGACCGTTCTCTCTCCTCTTCCCTCTACGCGACCGTCTTCCGCGATGATTAATACGCGCGTATATATACGCGCCCGCGCTCCGAGATTGCAGCTACGTCCTGTTGTACGTGAAGAAACGCGAGTCGACAGAGAAAGAGAGAAAGGAAGGCGGGCGAGAAGAGGAGGATAGCGGCGGAGAATCGGTGGATAGAGAGGACAGTCTGCGCGCGAGTCGAAGCGAGAAGCGACAACGAGAAGAAAGAGAGTGAGAGAGATCGAAAGAGGAGCATACTCGGGTCCGAGAAGAGGAACGACGAAGTGGGGTTCGGGGTGTTCGGGCTGACGGCGGTGAAGGGAAAAGAGAGGCGAGAGAAGGTGGAGGTATGCTGCGCAGCCGTGGGAACCGACTGCCGAGCGAGCGAGCAGCGAGCTCTCCTCTCCTCTCCTTCTATCGCGTTCGCCGCCGCGCCTCTCTCTCTCTCTCTTGCTCCTATATATCGTAGCAGCCACGCCGCGCCTGTCGCCTCTCCCTCTGTTGTATTTGGCTGCCAAGCGGCCTCTCGCTCTATCGTGCGCGCACTGAGAGGAGAGCACCTTCCTTCTCTCCTCGTCATCCCTCGCGTTCACAAGGACTTTAGAATCAGGCTAGGATCCGCGTTTCCTTTCCTTCCTGGCATATCTTCGCCCGATCGTCTTTATCGTCCTGTGGATTTCTCCTCCGCCTTCCGCGACCGCGCTCTCGTCGGCGATTGCTGCCTACCGGTGCACACGCATACCTACTTGCACACGCACACCCATATAGAGGTACCCAAGGCGCATTGTTCCCGCGGAGAACCGCGCCTTTTTTTCGAACGCGATTCCTCGCCGATTTCATTCCGATCCCCCGTAATAAATTAGCTGACGATCACGGTGGCATTTGTCTTCTCCGGCGATTTATTCTCTCCCCTTTTCTCTCTTTTGCTCCTGATTTGTTACTCTTACCGCAAAGCTTTTCTGCCTTTTTCTCTTGTTTTCGTTAAGTACACGTCCCCCGCGTATCTAAAACTTTTGAGACGCGTCCTTGCCTCGAGAGAAAAAGGCGGTTTTAGCCCTGTGTTTCTCTCATCTCGCTTCCGTCTACGCCTACTATGTCCTGCCGTCGTGTTCGTCGTTTTTTCACCCTTCTCGCGTGTTCGAGGCCCTTGGACCGGTCTCTCAGACCGCATCTCGCACATCTCGCACATTCGGTACCCCGGCCCCGCCGTAAAAGGTGCACTACAACCTGCGCTGCGCTTCTCTCTTTCTCCATTCGCTTCTTTTAGCAGAGACAAATTGCTCCCGCGTCCTTCAACCCTTTCGCGGCGAAGGGCGAACGCGTACCTGTACGATGTACGTGCGTACACCAAGTCAAGTTAATTTTAGATGGAAATATGTGCACCTAGCAGATTCAACTGTCTTAAATAATATAGAAGTATTATGTTTTCTTGCAGAAAATTGAAATAATTACTTGAAAAAGCCGATTGATTGTTAATTTGAATAAATATTTCTTCCATTTTTTCATTACCGAACATATATATTTATTTATTTAAATTTTGGTTTGATTATCTTAAATCTATAATGTATAATACTTTAATATTTGTATTATGATGTTATTGTTGTATTTTTTATCTTCTCCTCTGCTTTAATTTTACACGTTGAGATTATGTTCGAAACGAAAGGAAAGCTCGAGAGACGAAAGCGCAGCGTGTAATACGGCTTTCGCATAAATTTCCATGTGCGAGATGACATTCGCCAACGGGATTACCGAGGAAGACTCGTTTACGGGAACTCGAGCGAAACACGGGCGGGAATGGCGACGCTGGCGGATATAAACATTTATTATTCTCCGCGTGGCAACGACTAACGAGGTCGTGTTATAATACCACGAGTTGTACGGTGCTCTCTTTCTGTGTTTACTGTACATGCTCGTATGACGTTAAATAATTAAACGACGTATTATCATTTACGGAGACGTGTAGTGTAGAGTACGATGCTGCAGGCTATATCACACGGTAACACCGTCTCTCGTTGAGACTTGTCAAAGTGATCGTAATGTTTCGTGGTTTCTTGCCGACGGGGAACATCATTACGATATTTACGAGCTGTCATTCCGAGTATCTCTACCTGGTATCCCTCGGCTCCTAAATTACGTCGCTCGGAACAGCCGTGTGTGTACAGCGGGTATCCCCGCTTCCTGTTTCATCTGGGGACTTTTCGACCCTTTTGAAACAGATTTCTTTTTTACTTATATCTTTAGAAATATATAGGGTAGAACGGGGCTATTTTATTCATTTCTCACGATATTGTTTATGTTTCTGAGCAGCGTATATATTTAAAGGTTATATTTGTGCTCTCAAGAAGCAATCATGATTGTATAAGATTATAAGTACGTTACTGCAAAAAGATATTGTTTGTAAATTTTATATTATTTTAAAGTTGAAAAAAAATGACGGAATAGCTCCTCTGTATCCTAATTGAACTAATGTTATTTTGTTAACTAATCCTCCATCGGGATCTGTAAAGGCACCATCGATATTTCGATTATAAATTTTTGTAGATAAATTTAAAAAGTAAATTACCTGTAAAAAGTAAATAAAATACAATGGTGCGACTTGATAAAAACTCGTCGTCAAAACTTCGACAAGTATTCCAAAATTTTTTCAGATTCTTATATATTATGGAACAATAAAAAATGTCTTCTCTCTCGAAGACTCCTGTTGCTGACGGAAGAGTTAAAATTCATGTTGTCAGCAGAGGATAAAAGTTATATATACAAGATAAAAATATTTACTATCTCAAACAAGTTTACCAATAGCACGAAAACGATTTCCAAGAAATTATCGAAGATTATACGGAATCAATTGGCGTAAATTCAGTTAATCGATTGTGACGCACTTGCAAATTGTCTGTTGACACTCTGTAATGATTTACTTAGCGCAATCGTAGTTTCCACGTGTCGGCACACTCAGCACGCGCGCACGTGTATCTTGACAGAGGGGTACATCATGTGGTTATGGAAGTTGAGACCCCCATGGGGTTGCGATTCCCCTCGTGCCTAGACGATAAAGGGGTGATTTTCGCGCGTGTGTCCCTCTTCCTGTTCTCTCTCTTTCTCTCTCGCATCCTGTAGGTCCCCACCCTCTCCCTTTGCCAGTGACGCGTAACCGTTTCTCTTCGCTCGTACTTGATGTGCACGCTCGTCGTTCTGCCGGCGGGCGGACGCGTGGCAACGCGTGGCAGGTGTGCACGTGACGCAGCATACCGCGAAACGTTTAATTTGTTATTAACCCTTTCACCACGGAAATATTTCCTTTAGCGTTACCGTTATATTTCGAAAGTGCGCACGAGTCACGGTCGAAAAATATGAATGACATATCTTTTCAATTATCAGCATTAAATCTAATTACGAGACTGAATTAAGAGCAATTATTAATTTCCTCTGGAATTTCGCCTCGAAATCTCCATTTGCTTTCCAAACTGATTATTAATTATAATTGTTGATGTTATTAATTTATTAATTATTCTCTTATATATATTCTGATCAAGAAACACGTAAGACTGATGTAGCTTTCTTTTTCTGTTTACAGGGTACATTCTCGTTGATAGTGGAGGCTTACCACGATGAGGACAACAGCACGCATCAATCGGCCGGTGAGTGCATTTTCTCTCTTTTTTTTCTTTTACTCTTTTTGTTTTTTAAATCATGTACTATGATATTGAACACGAGTGCGTTGCTCGCGCACACGCGCTTGTAAAAAATCCGAATGAAGGATTATCGTAAAATTAGTTCTGTAGACGTTGCGCGCGTTCCTATAAAAGTCCGTGAGAGAGGAGGCAAGAAGGTTGTAGGGCATGTGTGGTCCAGCTGGCCCGTAAGAGAGACACGATGTCTCGTGCACGGACCAGTCGAGAAGGAACTTCCGGTCTCTGAGCATGACACTTACCAGAGACGTTGATTCCTTCGTTTTCTTCCTCCTTCGTCAACTATCTCTTGATATTCTCTTCCCTTTAAAATTCCCTCAAGTTAAGAACCGGAGGGACAGAAAAAGATAGCTCGATTTGTCCTATTCATTTCAGTTTATAAAATAACTATTTAACTCCAAAATAAAGCTCTACGGTGTACTTATTTTGAAATACATTTTATACATTTTGTTATATTTTTTTATTTTTTTCCGATTATTATGGTCGTAATTATTGTTCGTTTTATAAATACTGTACTTTACAAAATATAAATATTACATATAAAAAAAATAGAAAGAAGAATTGTGTTTTGTTTACGAATACTTTTCATCGTTAATTAAAATTCATTTCTTTGAATTTGTCATTTTTTATCATAAATATTATTTCCAATTTTGCGCGATGGGTCATAAATATGTGTTTGTGTGCCTCGGTAATAAATCTTACGTCGTCGAGATCGACCGTTGTTCCGCGAACAATCGTCGCGTTTTCATTGTTCTATTCAGCCTCTATTGCTGCTGGTCGTTCCTCATTTGTAACCGCGCGTTATTACGACAACGCGTCTCCGTTATGTCATAGCGTTGTGTTGTCGACTAGGAGTTGCAGGAGAGAGGAAAGTGAGAGCAAGGAGAGGAGAGACGGCGGATACTTCGGGTGGCGGCGGCGCGGCGCGACGGCGGCGGCGGCGACGGCACTAGTGTTTCCTTCCTGTGTAACCGTAGTACACTCATCTTCCATCGCGCTGGAAGTAACTTGAGTAACCGAGTATATACGGGCGCATACAACGAGCCTAGCTTAGACCTACCATTAATTATTCTTCAATTTTACATTTTGATGCTTTTTCACACTGTTAAACTCATAAGGTACCCAATTTGATCAATTTAACACAATGAAGTTAACCGATTTAATTTAAGAAAATGTATTAAATTTAATCTAAATTTAGTTTATTGTTTACTAGATGCGCGTTAATAAGTAGACTTTTAAACTTATACCCAATTTCTTCACCTCTAGATAACTTTATCCATGAGATATCTCCCAAAATACAATGGAGATATCTCCTGGATAAGGTTATCTCCAACTTATCTGGAAGTGAAGAAATTGGGCATTAATCAAATAGATTGATTTATATTGTGACACACGTGAAAGTTAAAAATACAGGGTTACCACAGACCTGGAAAACCGGGAAAAGTCAGGGGAAAATGTAAAAAAGTATGAAATTTTTTTTAATTTGCTCACAATTTCCTTAAATTGCTACTATTCCAAATAATTGTCATAATTTTTTAAATATTATATCTGACGTTTATAGTTCAAAACTTGCGCGCTTTAAAACGATTTTAACAAAATAATTCAAATTTATATTTTATTCAGTATTTTTATTTGATCCTTCTTTTTTGTCGTAACTGCATTCTTTTTTTCAAAACTAATTTATATTTTGCTGGCTTGAATTTGCATCCAAAATTTTACTATGCTACTAAGCTTTTTTGCGCTTTTAATAATATAGCTTTCCTACAATCCGTAAGTCTAAATGTTAAAATTTACGTATTTTATACTAGTGGAAAATTTTCCATTTTCATCTGGAAAGCCTGGAAAAAGTCAGAGAATTTTAAAATTCATTTTCTGTGGCAACCCTAAAATACGAAAATGTTATTTAACGCATTGGAATTGGGTTACAATTATTCCTTTCATATCTAACAATGCGTAATGTGGAGAGATTTGAAGGAAAGAGAGAAACGAAATTTCGAAATGTATTATTCCGCCTTAATTTTCATTTATTTCAATTTTCGATGTAATAATTATAGAGTTTTGCCGGAGGCGGATACAACTTGTAAGAACCGCGCATCAGGCGAAACTCGGAGTGCGTACGGTTTTCTGTACGCACTCGCGCGCAGGTAGCACACGCATCCGCTTCACTTTATTCACTCTCGAGACCGGCTTTAAAAACGGGTTAAGAAGAGCGAGACCGCTTAATTTCTTCCTCGAGAAGTCCCGTGGGGCCCCTCCGGTAATTAGAATCGGCCGACGGGAGAGAGCGGAAGCTGCATGTACACGCGGTGGCCGCGCGCCCTCATGCGTGTCGCACGCACACGCGTACACCGTCGCGTCGTCCCCGTCGCTCGGTCGCTCCTTGTATCACCTATGCCGCCGCTGCTGCCGTCGTCGTCGTCGTCGTCGTCGCCGGCGCGGCTTCGGTCAATTAAACCGAATTTAACTGTTTCGGCGCCACGCGGCGCGTACTTCATTCAATCTCGCGCTTATTTATCTAGCCATCCCTTTTTCTCTCGGATGCTTTCTCTCGACGAGGAAGCAGTTACTCGAAACGCGCGAACGAGTTTGCGAATGCAAAGTTCATAAGAGTGCGAAACTGGATTCGCTGTTGGGTCGAGAAGTTTACGTGAGGAATCTCGTTTCAAGGAATCTAATGAACCGAGATTATCGTGTGTGTGTTATCATCTTCTCATGCGTGTTTATGCCGCTAATAAAACTCTCATTAACTGTTGATACGGAAACCAGACTAATTTCTTACGCCGTCTCGTATAATATCTGGGTAGGTTAAACTTGTATTTCCTCATAATTATTCACACATGATTTGTCCGTTAAAATAATTGAAAATTTAACGATACGTCTAGTTTAAAAAATATTTAAAAATTAATTGTATATCTCTTCTGCGCATTGCATTATCTAAATGGCTTTATTTTTCTATGGTAATTACACGTATTTTGCGTTGGACGAGAGAACGTTAAGCTATCGCCAAACGAGCTTTTTTCTCTGTCCAACACAACGTTTGCGTTCCAGGCGAGGCAAGAATCTCCAGTCTCTGGATTTTATCGTCAACGTACCGCTTACCTTGTACGCGTCTGCTTCTCGGTATCTGCGATTCTTTTCTTAGCGCACGGATGTTTTATAAAGTCATCGACGTATGGAAATCTGTTGTTTCATTTGTTGATCATTTCCTCTCACATTTGTTGTTTCACGTCGAATACTGACAATGAATTATATCAGTCATTAAACTACTGCATAAAGAAAAAATAGAGATTTTCGAAATCTTTATAAAATTCTTTAAATTAACATAAATTATATTCCATTAATATAAATATAAAAGAAATATTGTTTATTATAATATAAAGCAAGAAACATCCAGCTTGGCTCGCTGTTCTATTCTTTTATATTTATATTAATTTTTAAAATTTGTAGAACCTTAGTATCTGCATATAATTATTGATAAATTATTCCGTTAGAATTTTCGTCCCAATAACATTAAATTTAAATAAAAAAAAATATATTTATAAATAATTTCTCGTTGACGTGTCTGAAACTAATTTGAATCCTAAAAGGTTAATATACTACGATAGTGTCTACACTAATATCCCTGATGGGTCTCCAAACATCGTGTCCCGGATATATACCTAGCCCGGGGCCTTTATCGCATATACACCGCTTACATTGTGCTCCGTCTACCGTGCTGCTGCTCCGGGCACAATATAATACCCACAACGCACCGGCGAAACGAGCCCTTTATTGCCGCGTTGCTCGGATGCTGCTTCCTTTCTCAGGCGAACACCACCACCACCACCTCCTCTCCTAACCGCCGCCCCCGCTTCTCGCCTCCTTCCCTTTCGGGCGTCCCTCTTCCTCCTTTTAGCCGCCCATCACGCACACACGCACACCCATTATCCGCGTTGCGTTACGTTGCGTTGCGTTACGTTGCATATATATATATGCCACGCCGATGCACGCGTCGCGCCGCGCTGCACCTGCACTCGGAGTTGCGTTCGCTCCGCGTCGCGCGTGTCGCGAAAATTTCGTGGGAATCCCGCTCGCCGCCGCTAATTATCGCCGCGACGTTTCTCAAGGACGGTCGTAGTCGCGGGAGAGCCGAGATCCGCGAGGAGAGATAAAATCCGCGTTCTTAATCCTGTTACAGAGCTTAATAGCCTCGTATTACAGAATCGGTATCGAATTGCTCGTTATCTTGATGAATTACTTTTCCAACGGTATATTTCTTGCACGTATATGTGGCATAAATAAAGATGAACCATTCATACGCGCAAAATGTTCCAACTAAAAATAAGAGACTTTAAATAAATATCGGATGGTCTTAAAGTCTCCTTTTTTTTTTTATTCCGGTCTAATTTTATTCTCGCCGATGCGACGTTATTTATAAATCTCAGCGGGGCAAGGTGGTGTCGCGCACGAACGATTACACGTGTCGATGAGAGCGCTCGACGAGCTCTGATCGATCGATCGGTCCCTCATGTGTCGAGCGTGCACATGAAGTGGCATTATTGTACGCGAACCAGTTTCCTTTGTCGCTAATGACGACGTTCACCGACATCCGCCTGCTCGGTGTGCTCGGTCGTTGCTCGTTTTGGTAAAGGCTGATCGGATTACTACTCTTCCTTTCCTTCATTCATCCGCCGTAGCGCCAGCGGGGAAGAGAAGAAGGAAGAAAGATTCTTCTGTCTCTCTCCTTCTCTCTCTCTCTCGCGCGCCATTCGTTTGTCTGTTTGTTCGCGGTGAACCGACAGCACTATTTATTATCAAGCGTTATGGGATAATGCGCGTGTAAAGAATTAAATGGAGATCGCGATATATATCCAGCCGTGGTACTGTTAAACGCTTCTTTAACACACGCATTTAAGGAAACGATATATACGTTCCTACTCGTAATATCACCGTCGGTTCGTTAACTAAGTACTGTGTGGACGCTCCGGAACCGCCGATGTATATCTTTATGCAAAATCGTGTATATTATTTGGAGGAAAAAATTTAAATGGACCGTTAGAAATTTTATTTTATCTTTTTGTAAGGGGCAAATAATTAAGTTGCTGAAATATTCATTTTCGACGTTAGAAAAGTCTCTATAATAAGACACTAATCTCCATCGCGAAATTTCTCTTAAGAATTATAATTGTGAATTTATCGAAAGAATTGCAATACAGGTAAAATGTCTCTTGCATGTATAATGTCACATTTGTTTCCGTTGCGCCGACTGAATGTGTGTCCAGGACGTATTGGGCGGACTGACATCCTACTTGAGAGTATCCTATTCATTCCCAATTGATATAACGCGTTAGCTCTTCGCGATGCGTACGCATGCACATATACATATACGAGCGAAAGGAACTCCAGTAGTGGTCGTGGTTCCACACGTGACTTACGTCACCGTCGATTGTCAACCGCTTTTTCCTGGCCAGTCTCTCGTGCTCTCTCTCTCTCTCTCTCCCCCTCCGTCTACCTCTCTTCTTCTCACAAACAGAACACCGTTGCACGCCGCGACTCGCTCTCTGCACATCACCCGATGCACTCGAGAGAACGCACCTGCCTTCTTTCATGATAATAACGACGGCGATAATTGGCCGCCTTCCCTGCGCACTCCACGTGTCAACCGACAAAAGAGAGGAAAAAGATCAGGCTACGTCTTGCCTTACGATTGAGAAAGTCAATGAAAAATAATATAAGTCTACTTTCTTAAAATCTTATGGGGAATGATTAATCTTCGCCTGATGAATTAAAATTGATTTTATTATTTTATACCGGTGATTGTAATTATTTATTAGAATACTTAAAAAATAATTGGCTCTATATTGGGTCACGGTCGCGAAAACTCTGTGCGACCGATGGACCCTCTACCTGCTGAACCTTCAGTGGGGGCGGAGCCGGCGGCGTTTCGGAAGTTAATCCACCGCGTTCGGGTTTTACGATCCATTTCGCTAAATAATCGGCGCGTCGTTTTTTCGCGCAAAAACAGCAGAGCGGAGGCAAAGCGCCGCTGGCTACGTGCCAGCTCTCTTTTCTCCTTCTTTCTCCCGGGGCGATACTTGTTCGGCAGCCGCTCGTTTCTGAATGAACAATAGAAAATGTCGGCTACGCGCCGGCGCTGCGCGCGTCGTTAATGAATACCTTGAATCGGTCTGGCCTCGAGCACGCCGGGTGTTTACCGGGTGTATACGTTGGTATACGTGCGCGGATCGTGGTCAAGTAGAAACGAGCGGCGGCGATCTCTCATCCTATAGCAAACGTACATCCTAATGTTGTCCGGGGGAAACAGCAGCAGGAAGTTGTAACTTTGCCGATACACGGCTGGTAGCGCGCAACGTAATCACTTTCCAGCGAATGTAAACGTGGGGATTAATTTTTTCCGCGCGTCTTTCCGAACGTTGACTACGCGTCGGAACGTCAACTTCTATCACATGCGCGTGCATCTTGCATATTTGTGCCTTGGAAGTCTGACTTTTGCTAGAATTTGTATTACGAGATGCTTTCTAAATATACATACTGTTTAACGAAGATGTCGCTGACAACGGTGATTATTATTTCGCTTAAATATTTAAATGTGTAAAATGCGAAAACGTCAATGTAATATTATTTGGGATATTACATTGTTGCGGATTAATTATATCAATGATTTGTCTCTTTAGAAAATCTAAGTCTTTCCAAAGATTTATGAACCGATTCATCTTCGAGTATGTTTTGCTCCGTGCATTTATAGTAGCTCTCTGGGGATCGAACGTGAAACGGTGTAGCGTGCGAAGATCGGCGTTTTCGGAACTCGTAACAGCATCACCTGGGAAGATAGCCCAGTAAACTGCCTCTCCCTCCTATATATATACATCTCTCTCTCTCTCTCTCTTTCATTCTCGACTCCCGTTTCGCCGACAGCCACTTCCCTTCTGGGAAGAGAGCTTGATCTGACTCCCTCCTTAAGTATCCTCGGGCACGCCATCGGCAAAAACCTTCGTCCTTTTGTTCCCTCCTCGCTCTTTCTTTTTCTCGCTTATTCGTCTCTCCGTTCTTTCGTTCTTTCTCTTCGATGCGTGTAGTGAACAGAGAAAGAAAAAGACACAGTGGCGTGTAATCGAAGGGCCCTTTTCATTGTCAGCAAATCGTATTATTAAGTGATAACAATATCAATTGAGTCTCTTCGAATTACAGAATTTTCTCGGTCCACAAATAATTATATTGATAAGCGAGGATACTTCAATTCCGCGATTAATATCAAGCATTTTTTCATTAATAGTAATGGCATACATTATTTTATTAATAAAGAAACAGCATTAAAAATCAAAGCAGTTTTTATACTTGAAATAGCGTTACTAATCGCATCATGTTTCTAGTCATGTTTAAATTTAATAATAATTTTGGAAAATATTGATCGTAAGTCTCTTTTATGATAATGGAAACATAAATTGGGTGTTTTTGAACTGTCATTGCTGAAGTTATCGTGTCATCCTCACTTAATCTGTCGGTGATGATTTTCAAACTATTGAGATTCGAGCTTGCCTCTTGACGGCTACGCTACTGATCTTACTACATGCGATAGACCGCGGTGGAATCGGTGGGCCCGATACGCTACCGGTTCGACTGCGAGGCGCACGAATACGCGTGTGCACCGAAAACCGGTGCCGTGAGATGCAGGTTTTTCGGTAGGGCACCTGATCGTAGCCCCGGATCCTAATCTGTCGGGGCTATTACGATAATGTGCCCTGGTGTAAGGAAGGTTGTAGCTTTCGCTCGTTCGTTCGCTCATCCGTTCGTTTACACGAAAGCGAGTAGAGACACCGGACGAGAGGACGAACCAGAGGCGAAGACGAGAATGAAGTGAGAGAGAGAGAGAGAGTGGGGGGGGAGGGTGAAGAGAGTAAAAGACAAGGAAAGAAAGAGAGAGAGGAAGGAAGGACGCCTCTTTCCCAGAGCCGCAACGTGGTATACTCACTTACTCTCTTTGTGCCGGATGCGTGCCGCCGACAGAGTAGCAATAGCGGACGAACGTCCGGTCTGCGCTCTCTCTCTCTCTCTCCCCCCCCCTCTCTCTTTTTCTCTTTACTTCTCTCTCCCGGAGGCCGATGCACTTCGATCGCATCATTGGGTGCAGCGGTGCACCTCGTCGCTCTGCCCCAGTGCTGATGGTTGCCTCGACTAATTACTATCACATCGCGTTTCATTGTTGCAGACACATCGTTAATTTGGCGATTAACATTTCTGTATATCTACTCTATAAAATCTTCAAAGTAAAACCTAATTCTTATTTCTCAAGAGTGACAAAGAGTGACAATTGAGCCAGTGTTGGAAAAGAGTGGTTCAATTATCAATTTTTAAGTGTGAGTTCTTTGACGATAATACTCGAGAGTATGATAACAACAGCGATAAATGTTTCTAAATTAATATAAAAAAATATATAGGATGTCTTACTTGTAGCTTAAGATACGATATAAGAGATTATATATAAAGAAATCTTGAGTAGTTGGACGAAGTCACTCAAACGGAACATGGTCTTTTGGTTTTCCAGAGAAAGTATTGATCATGCGGTTGACAACCCAGAAGTGGCTGGACGTTGATCCGGATTGGACCGTGGACGACTTCGCGAGTGCACACTCGCGAATAGAGTACGAATATAGGGTGACTTGCTCGCCGCACTATTACGGCAAGGGTTGCGAGGACCTATGCCGGCCTAGAGATGACAACTTCGGCCACTACAGTTGCAGCCCAAGCGGCGAGCGCGTCTGCCTCACTGGTTGGAAGGGCGACTATTGCAACACCCGTAAGTACCCTATTTACCATTCCGGTATAACCGCACCGTATTTTAGCGGTAGCGCGATACCCTGGCCGCTATTTATTTCCGCGTTCTCTATCACGACTGCACGCGCGCATCAGAGATTGTCCTACCTTTTCTCAGTTCGATTAGTATAATAACCTTAGGCTAAAAAGAACCTACTGGATAAGGGCTAATAAATAATCAGTGATGAATAAATCATGATGCGATTATAAAAGGAAATGATTAAAGACTACGACTGTTTGTACTATTATGTTCTCCCGAACGCAATCTCGCATTTCTTTCAAGGATTTTGCGAGGCACGCGGTTATTAACAGGCAACGTTGCTGCCTCCGCGATCCCTACCGACGTCGAATATACACGCTACCTCGGTAAACGACGATACTCTCGCGAATCGGCCGGTGCGGCGCGGCGCGACTCGCCGAACCGTTCCTATCCTCGCGCTCTCTCTCTCGCTCCGCGTTCTTTCAAAGCCCGGCATCTCTCTGTGAAGGAGAGGCCCAGTGCAGTCAGTCCGGTGGTGGTGCGCTGCAGCCGAGACTTCGAAGCGTGCAGCAGCTTCCCACGCTTGGCTCGCGCGTGTGCGAGTATCTCCTTCTCTCTTTCTCTCTTCCACTCCCTCTCCTTCATCCGAGAGCTCTCTTTCTTTACTCTTCTCCGTCCCGCGACCCGACTGCGGCATCCCTCTCTTTTTCACTCTCGCGTACCTGCGAGCCGACCGCGACCTAATCCGTGTGCACGTGTAATGATCCGAGATTGTGTGAACGAAGGAGGCGAGGGGGCAAAATCTGCCTTCGTGTGTGGTTCTCTCTCTCTCTCTCTCGCTCTATCTTTTTCGATCTTTCTCTTATTCTTCTCTCTTTCATTCTCTCTTTCTGCCGAGACTCCGCGCGAGTCGAATGGAACGGCCGTGTCTGTTACCAGAGTCACAGTCATCGATGTCGGAGCTCCTGGTGCGTACAGGTTCGTACCCGCACCTGGTCCGACTATGTCTGACCTGTACGTATAAAGGTGATTTTATTCACGAAAAGGAAAGCTTTACTAGCTAGTTTTGGTCTTCATTCAGTAAATCCGGGACTCGTTTTCATATTATGTCGAATTGTCTGACCGGACAAAAGCTCCCCGAGTGTCCTCACATGTCATCGAATTTCGCAAAGAATGCGAGGAAAAATTTGGGAAAAAGGCAGGGTATCATTCTGTCTGCTTCGTACTAGAACTGGAGTTTATATAACTTAAATTATAGAATCACATCATTATTCCAAATTGTTTAAAAATAATATAACTTGTATATTTTTACTTATGTTTTACGTAAGAGATAAATTAAGTATCATAAACGTCTATATTTCTTTTTTATGCGTTTTAAAAAATACGCACAAAAAAATATCCGTAGTTTCTCCATATCGATGATAATTCTATCTATATATTAATATATGAATCGATTAATGTCTCCGTTTGAATCATACGTTTCTCGAGGTTTCCACTTTCCCACGAGTTTTCCTCGTTTATGCCAATTCTCAGATCCCGAATTCCAGACTCTCGAATCCGATTAAAGTGAAAGATCGATCGTAGGCGAAGTCTCCCCGTGTGTGGGGCCCGTCAGTCCCCGGTCGTTGCACTCGACGCCGACTGCTCGTGGCCGCCGCGATCGACAAAGTTCGCGCGTCGATTACTAATGGACTACTTTTCATTTCGTGGATATTCCTCACTATCGTTCGACGAATCGGTTGTTCGAGCGATCTTTTTGAACTACTCTTTTAGAACTTGTATCGTACGCTGAATTCTCTGATATTGGAAATAGTACAATTTAAGAGAAGAATTTAATACAGCTAACGGTCTTCGTCAACATCTTTCTTTTAATTCGCATTACTTTTTCTGGTAGCAGAAAAAGTAAGATTACAAAAAAAAAAATTGATTTTGAAACACATTTAATGAGGCGGAAAAAAACTTGATTGTCCGCTACCGCAATATTCCTTACTGCGATTATGCAGCTTAACAAGAAGTGGCAAAATCACTGTCGCGCTCTCGCTCGATGAGCAGTCGGCCGCAAAACGTCAGGAAGTACAACGATATAAATCACGAATGGCAGACTCTCCTTCGGAACGAGTCTCGCGAGAACACAAAAGGACTTTCACTTCTTCGGAATCTGTTAAAATGGTGGTAATCTCGCGTTCGATTTTGCTGCTTCCGCGATCTTGTATCTTTTCAATTTTTTTTTAATACGTCTCTGTTATACGTCTCTGTTGTGTGTTCGGTGTTAATCTTCTAGATTATTGCCTTACAGAAATTTAATACTGTATTATTACGATACCATACTTTGCAGGTGAATTTTGGAAAAAGTTGTAATCTGTCAAGGATTGATATCGTAAATTCATCAATATACTTTTTGCTTGTTTGGAGCCGTTTTATCGTCAATTTTCCTTTGGATCAGACACGAGGATGTCCACATCCCTTCGTCTAATCCAAATCGATAGCAGAAAGTACTCGTCATCGGGCATACTCGGCGACCGAATTCTCGCAGCCACATGCACTTTCTCTGGCAACGAGTTCGATCGCACATGACGAAGGGTTAACTCCTCTCTATCTCGTTAACCCCATGGTGAGAGGGGTGTCGGTCGGTAGGTTCAGAATAGGCGATTGGGCAAGCAGTCGGACTCTTTCGGGGGTGCCAATACGAAGGCGTTATATAGGGGTTGTTGGCGGGCGCGCAGAGAGAGCAGCTGCAACGCGCGAACGAGCTGGCCTGAGCGAGTTGGGCCCTGACAGCTGCACCGAGAGGACGGTGCTTTAACTAACAGCTGCCCCGGACTCGTGCTCGCAGTCCACGTACATTCCGGCTTCTCTATTCCCCCCCTTTTTTTTCCTCCCTCCCTTCTTATCCCCGCAGTTTTTTGTTACCTCTCGGTGAACAACGCGGCACTTTTCCAAATATACCTTCGATGTTACCTTTTATCTTTCAGTCTACCTGACTGAAACCGGATTATACGTATCAATTGTGGTATAGATTTAGCTTGAAGCAACTTAGACTTTAACAACATCATCGTTAAATAAAACGGACAGTAATAATGGCTCTCTTTGAGGATATGCTCCTCAACCCAAAATTGGTATCGGTTTTTGCCTAAAAACTTGGACACAATAGATGTGATTTCCGGTCGTCAAAAGACTAATCCTTACAATCCCCTTATAAGTGACTTCACGAGTCAACGAAAAATTTTGAATCCTGCTTATATTTTATATCCTATAGAAAAATGTGGCGGTGTTCTTCTTTCATCTGACTTCTAACTATTCGCGTGGCCTACATTTAGCAGGTATTTGTCACAATGCGGCGGCAGGTATCCCATAGGCAAGAAATGGTGACAATTCTTCATTCATTCTTGTTAGGGAGGAAAAAGGAGATTTCTGAGAAGAGAAATGGGTTGACAATACCGCTGCTATCAAGGGGGTCGGAGCTGATGACCATTTCGAAGAGAAATCGGTGACCATCAGGATCAGGAAATCAATAAGTACGTTGCGAAACTGGGGGAATTCGGGATGTAACACTGGCTGTGTAGCGACGTGTGTTTTTCTTTCTTTCTTTTTTCATGTCCTCCGCTTAGGGATCAGGCGTTTAAAAAGAACCGGTGCACAAAAGCCGGCAGATTCTTTGAGAATGACACTTGTGAGTGTATTATATATGTTACCTGTCCTATCTATTCAAGATACAGTCTCACTATGATATTCAATAAATTTTATTCGTTCACGTATAATACTTTTTTTCAAACTTTATTGTCTATACGGATGATTAATTGTTTATCTTGTGTATCTAAACTAAAATTTGTTCATATGTGTTTGAGTATTTAAAGGAAGTACGAAATCCTAAAATTTAAGCGAACAAGCCCTGAATTGCTGATCACCGTTTGCAATTTTCAAAATACAATTTCAATTAGCATTTAAAATATATGATAATGAAGTAACAGCTAATATACAACAAATATAATAGAACGAATAATAATTAATTGATTAATTAATTAGGTCAAACTTGATATGAAAATGAAAACAAATTAGCTAACATTGACTAATTAATAACTTCAATTGATAATAAAGTTACATTAAATGAGGACGAATAATAATAATTATTATTTCGTTTCATTGTTACCAGTCTGACCTAATAACTAATTTCAGTCGTTTGCAGCGTTTTGCAAAGTCCTACGGAATATAAATCACAATTCATTGTGTTATACACAAATATAATTTAATTACACATAATTTTATTAGATGTTAATTGTGTCGATATGCGAGGACTTATCAATATTCTGTTAGATTCTCTATACAGTGCTTAATTTGAGAAATGCGATTGTTAAAATATCGCATCGAATGAAATACGGGAGAATCTACGACGTCTTCTTCTCGGCTTCTTAGAACACTTCGGTCGGCTTGGAGGACCAAGTGTTCCGCGAGAGAACAACATACGGCGAATTTATAGCCCACCTCGCAAGGTTTTATCTCGAAAAATCGCATGGTCGCAAATCGGTCGTAAATAATCCTCGAAGGGCAAGATTTGTCGCGGCTTACGAGATTTGTTTAGTCACTGGCTTCTCCGTCGCACCTTCTTCACCGCGAGGAAGAAAAGGAACCTTTCTTCCCTTTTCTTTCGGCAACGGTACGGCGAAAAGGTGGTATACTTGAAGCGGCGGAGAGGGGGGGAGGGAGGGAGGATAAAGAGAAGAAGGAAATGGTAGAGGTAGGGAGGGTCGCAGTGGAATCTCTGCGATTCGGTCGTTCGTCGACGATACACCGGCGCGGCGCGGCCGGAGAGGGTACGAGGAGAGGAGACGATACCGCGGCGGCTTCGATGGCGGGGCCGAGGGGGGTCGTATCTCTCGTTCTCCGCTCTATAAATACCATACTCCTTAGCGCTCAGCCTGTGCCATGCCATACCGCGCTGCGCCGCGCCATGCCGTGCCGTGCCGTGCCGTGCCGAAGTCCGTCCGTCCGTCCATCCGACCGGCCATGGCGAATAAGAGAGTCGGGCCGTTGCGCTCGGTGCCAAGGTCACGAGCGGCCCTCGTGCTGCTGCTGGCCCTGCTCGCCGGCCCTGCCTCGCCGAACCGTGTCGGAATAGTCGGAACTGCCGCCCTCAACCCCTTCATTCACCAGTATCGAACGTACCGGGAGATTTTTCCTTTCAGTTTTCAACCTAATTTTGCCCTTGGCAAAATCATTATTTTTATCGAATATTCTGGCTTCACCAGAATGGTGAAATTTAATTAATCCTATGTGGTAATAACGATAATATGATTGATGACGCTGTTCTAATCATCTTTCTTGCATAATTAGTATATATAGATACAAATTCTGGGCTTGATATTATCGATCTTTTCTGCTTGTATTGACATGCAAAATCTTGGTCGATTATCGCGCTGTTGTCTCCCTGGGTTAACAAGGTGACGAGGAAGGAATCCAAACGGGCGACTATCAATTCCTCGCATACTTGCACGCGGCGCGAGCTGCCAGCGATAAATCGCAAGGGTAATGAAATTGTGTCACGCATCGTTCGATACGAGGACGTCTAGTTCGCGAACACTACGTGAAGAGGGAGAAGAGGTTCGTGTGTTCTCTCGATAGTTGGCCGGTAGCCATCGAGTTTTCTAGTTACGTATGCGGCAAGGAAATTAGTCGATTGGTTACCGAAACGATACGAGAAGTAAACGCTACCGCACGTGGTGCCTGTCACTCTCCTCACCTTTTAAACGACCCGCATCCGGGGTGCCGTTACGCGTCTCCCCCTCAAATTCGACCGAGTCATTTGTTTGCGGTTTACTTGTACGATAAGGAAATGGAATACACGTCTTTCACGCGGCACCACCACCTGTTAATCATTCCGTTTCCTGTATTAGCGTTTTCAATTTTAATTCTTATACCCCGAGGCACAGTAAAGTTTATTAAACTGAGAACGTATCAGAATAAAAGTACAAACGTAAAAATAAAGCTAGAAATACAAATAAAATAATGCACAACTTTCGATAATGAAAGGGACTACTTTGGTATGGCATATTCAATTCAATTCGATTGCTTGTAACTTTCATAAAAATAAACATTGTAAAGAATTTATTTTCAATCGAATCGCCAGACATTAAGGAACATAACGGTATCAAGCCAATTTATGTATCTTAGCAATTGAAAAAGCGGTGGAAAAGAAGCCGGGTATGCCGTACTCAAAATGGCACCAAAGAGCACACCAAAAAAATCATCACTGCATCACATACTAAAAGAATTAACAGCAGAAAGGTATTTAATGTCCTGAAACGTATAAAGAAGGACGAACTACCGTACGCGTGTATGCATGCCATCAGACATATCGTACCTATATACACCGTATTCACCGCTCGCTCGTGCAGTCGTGAGGGACGCGATCGACCTCTCGCCGAGAGTTGCCTTAACCTCTTGGATTTTTTCTTACTCATTTCAGCCCGCTGCCTGCCCGGATGCGACGAGCAGCACGGACACTGCAATCGACCCAACGAATGCATGTGAGTATACATACGCGGCTTTCGCCTAATACCTACACGTGCGCTGGCAGGGTGTACGTTGTTTGCATGTGTCGCGTGTACGTGTACATTGCGCCGCCCCATACAACCGCCAACTAAATTCCTGGGCCCCGACACGGTGCATCCACTCCTCTGTATGCACCGCCGCGCCGCGGTGTATGCATGTACGCGCGCGATAATAATTACGCGCATACCTATCGTAAATTATCGTTCGGCGCGATTTCGAAAATATACGCCAGCCACCAGCTCGTGGATCCACGTCACGATTCTAGTAACTCTCCTACACAAAGTATTCTGGAATCATTTCATTCTATTGCGATACGTTAGAACTCTTAACTGGAATAAGATGATGATTCATCTCAATTTTTTTTTTTAATGTTTGAGGAGAAGGAATAAAGTTTAAAAGTATACGTAAACATAAATTCGGTTTTGTGAATAATTTGACGTTAAGAATTTTAATAATTCCATTTGCGTACTGTGTATAATGTAATGTTACTGCTAACTTAAAGATGCGTACGCGCCGCGCACCCTTAACAGTCCCTGTTACGGCGCGTGCATTCGCGACGGCATTATAAGTGCGCACCCGTTGTATATTTTATCATACGCATATCTTCGTAATGCTTTTACGAGTGTGCGCACATGCAGCGAGAAAGAAGGACGAAGTGGAATTTGAAGCTCCAAGATTGCTTTCCGTTCTAACGAGGCAGTTTCCGAGGTACCAATCGTTCTTTCTTCCTTCCCAGATTCCACATCGCTTCTCTCCTCTTCTTTTTCCCACTTACTAGCTTTCTCCCTCTTTGTTTCTTTCTCTTTTTCTTTCTTGGCTCGCCATTCGACGTGCTGTTGAATTTTCCGATTTAATCCGCCGTTTGGCAACGTTCCGGAATTCGAATTCCGAATATTTCTGCGCTTCCTCAAAGTCGTTCGTGTACTTTCAATCCACTTCCCTCTTCAGCAAAAGTCTCCTTCAGTAAGCGTAAGAATATTCCATAAGAATATTCCATAGATTGTATGATAGTATTTTAAGATATTTATCTTATTCGTAGTTTTATCTTTATCATAGATCCTTTCAATGAATTCACAAAACTGCATAGAAATAATTTCGAGAGGTCTCAATTTTTTCGCAATCGCGTTTAATGTTTATACCATTAATATTAAACCGAGGAACTATTTTGTTTCTTTTTATGTCTTAGTTAAATAATTAATGATATATAAAATAATAACTTGCGAATCTTACTCGCGAACGTCATATATTTCAAGATATCTCGTCACGCTCGGCTCGAATCTCGGACTGGTCGCGTTAACTCGGGGTTTGAAGTTAACTCAATCATCTAATTACTCTACGACCGAGGTTAATTGTTCCGTTAGCTGCAGCAGAGTTCGCAGTTTGAATCTTATTCATGGTCGCTTCGTTCTCGTGTGATTTTTCAATAAAATTCACTTAATAATCTTACTATCTTTATATATATATTTTTCAATGTTTTATAATGAATTGGAAAAAAATACATAATACATACGAGACCATGCATGATTCAATCTTGTGTTAGTAGCTATCAATTTATGATTTTTCAATCAATTTGAAATTGGCTTTCTTATAACGATAATTCATTCAATTATAATCTCTTTCTCACGACTTTTTGACATTTAAAATATGTTTAAACAATTTTGGATTTTTCGCTTCTCTCATTTCCTTCGTCATATTTCTCGAGTCGTTTCGAACGCCGTCCCCGTTAGAATTGGTGCCGTCGCGAGGCTCAAAGTTGCACGATTGTGAAAGGAGGAATGGCGTAGATTTTCCCGCACTACGAAATATACATCGTCGTAAGTTCTCCGGCGATGAATATCGAGAGTTTCTCGCGACGACGGCAGTGAACGCACTACGCAAACTATGCGTGTCTGTAACATAGTTTCCGAGAACGTACACACAATGCCGACGATTAAATTAGAAAATAACTTGATTTCGAATTCGCGAATCGAAATTTTTCGATCTTTTAAAAAAATCAATGATCATTAAATATTCGATTGTCAATGATTTAAGAAATTTATAATTTTATATTATATTATGCATATCTAAAAATACTCCGCAAACTTGTAAAAAATGTAACAAATAAATTATGCAATGCGTAAAAAATTCCTTTGCGATGTAAGTCATAAATATGGTATGTCGTTTCTTCATTGCGTATTATTTCGTGCACCATTTTAATACGATACAATCACTACGATGACACGACACGCAACGTACGTCAACTACAATGCGCTTGCACATTACGTGCACACGCCATTTTCATTATGGATAAATTTTTTTATATAATCTTTAAATCATTCGACGTTCAAACCTAATGAATAAAAATATCGTTACATGAATGTAACGGAATTTGATCGATGTTAACCTTGATCATACTCTACGTGCACGCGACAATGGCTGACGCATGCCGCTTTTACACGCCCCGATCGTCGATGATTACGCAGATTGCGGGAATGGAATTACGATACACTCGTTTTCAGTCGCATAGCGTATATTCACGTATACTTGGAAAGGACGATAACGATCGTTTCGAGGTGACGGGTCTCACCGGACTCGTGGGATATCGCTCGTGATACGTGGAAGAATCACGGCCGTTGCGTTGGACGCCCCATTGAAATTTTGGGGCCCGCGTGCGGTTGTGCGTGCGTGTGATGCCTAAATACTGATGACGATGCATCGACATTACGATCTCTCGTCTTTTGAGGGTGAGAGCATCAGACGATTTCGCTGAAACATTAAAAAAAAAGAAATCCAAACAGGAAACGATAGAGTGTTACGAGACACCTGTCATATTTTGACATTTCATTTTGTTGAAATTCAAATTAATATAAAATTAGATGTGTTCAAATTTATGTTTTAAATTCTATGAAAAAATTTCCCATGAGATATAAGTACATGCACGCGCATAAATTTGATATTTTTCCCGACAAATGTAAAAGTTGAATCTCTCGATTTTCTCTACACTTGGTGATATCATTTCGGTTCGACCCCGTTTAAATAGCCTCGTAATAACAAGCAAAGGTCAAAGAACGCACTCGTCTCGACCGTGGCGCGGTATCCTCGCATCTGATGGTACAAGAGTCGCAAAGAGAGGCGGAGGAGGAAGAGAAGAGACGAGAGAGAAGTCGTCCTCTCTCTCGTCTTTTCCAGAGAGACATTTAATCGAGTCTGATGCGCGCACGGGATTTCCATAGCTGACCGAAGAGCAGCCAATCCTTCTCCGCCTCCTCTTCTTCCTTCTGTTCCCCTTCGCCCTCGTCAATGCATGACCTATCCCCCGGTGGTAATTATGGCATAGTCGCGATTCTGTTGTGGCCTAGCCACAAAGTAGAATGCGCGATCACGTGGGGATGCCACTCGTCGATGTTCTTTGAGGGAATACACGTACCTAGGTGCATCTTTCACCTTCGTCTTTCGCGATAACAAACGATCGTGAATAATTCGTGCGATACAGTTCGACTAGCTTTCTTCCAACCTCTTTGATCCCGTTTTGTCTTCTTCTCATCTTTTCCTTTACCACCATCGTATTCTGTCTTTCCACATCCTTCCTCACGTTCTTCTTTCCTTTTCTCTCTTATTCTTCTTCTCAGATTGTGGCGGTTTTTCTCTCTCTCTCTCTTTTTTACTTTGTACATAGGACTTAATGGTATAGCCATGCGACGTCCACGGCTGCAGTTTCTCCTCTGCCGTCTCGTCTTCAGCTTTTTCCTCGGCTCTCCGTTCATCTTTTTCTACCTGTCTCCCTTGCCCTTCCGTCCATACCTTTATTCTCTTACTATCTCTTTCCGTCTACGATAGAGTCACAGCGAGAGAGCGACTGTATACTGTATACGTGCGGATACGTGCGATAGTATGGGGCACCGCGAGGACTGAGGAGGCGCGCGCGAGCGCGAGTGTGAGCGCGAGCGCGCGCACGCACACAGAGGAGGGTAACCTTTCCTTGACCCGCATACTGAACGGCTGTGCTGAGGCTCGAACCGTGGGAACACACTACTCGACGACTCATCCCCCACCGCTCCGTCAGAATTCTACTCTTCCCCCCCCTCCCCCCCCCTTCTGCCTTCCTCCTTACTCTTCTGTTCCCTCCGTGCCGACCCGTTGGTCCCGCGCAGCTCCCTCTCCTTTCCGTGAACTCTTCCTCGCTGCTGTCCTTCTCTCGCTCCTTCGCATCCCGGTGCTCGGGCCCCCTGTCCCCCACCCTTCAATGACTGCTTCTTCCCGCTCGCGCCACCTTCGGTCCCTTCTCTACCCCTTCCCTCTTATTCTCAGCGCGCTCGTGTGCACCCTATGCGCACATTGAAACAGTTTCTCTGTACATGTACATGTGTGTGTGTCATGGCGCATAGCACACACATGTAGCATCCTCTTTTCTTTCCACCTCTCGTTCTTTCGTTATCTCCGTCTGTCCCAGTCTCTTTCTTCTTCATTCCTCTGTGAAGCATAACCCCCGCACGTAATGTAATGGCCGACCAGCGTATCATCCTCATCTCCTGGCATGCCACCCTCTCACCCTTCACCAGGTTTCTTCTTTCTCTCTCTCCTACCGGCTTTATCCACTTTTAAGATATTCCCTGTCGCTGTACGTTGCCTCTTCCCCCTTTCTGCTTCTCGCCGGTTCTTCTCCTCCTTCTCCGCGCACGGACCGCGAATCTTTTCTTTCTTCGCGACTCTGCCAAGAAGTCCTCGTGCTATCCTTCCCTCTCTCTCTCGTCTTCCTGCCGCATATCGCACACATCCGTGCACGCATAAGTATATACACATACATTTCTTTCGATGTCGCCGCCGACCTCTGTCCCTTCTTTACTCTTTCCCTCGCAAGAGCTCTTCTCGTTCACCGGGATTTCGTCGACCCTCTTCTTGCACCCATGACTGCCTTCCGCCCGTCACCGGTGAAACTCCTCGAGACTCGTGACTGACGGAAGATAGAAGAGAGACTCGAATATCGCAGTACGCAGACCCATTTGACCCAAACTTCGTTTCATATGGTCTATCCAGACCTAATGATACTGACTGCGCATGGATCATCCATCCATGCACCAAACTCGCTATAGACACTGTCTTGATAGAATCCGATAGTATATATATATGTACAGTGTTACCAGAGTGAAAATGATTTATCTCCAAGAATGATTCAGCTTTCGTAGAAATCATGACACATCTTGGTCATCTATTTGTGCCGGTATCCGACCGTAGATAGATACGATACATGTCAGCCTATTCATTTGTTTTTTATTTTCTCGTAATCGTGCGTGAGCATTCGAGCGTCACTAAGGAGCTATATCGTGCTGTTACAGATGCCACAGCGGCTGGAAGGGCCCACTGTGTAATCAGTGCGTTCGATATCCAGGCTGCCACCACGGTAGCTGCCAAAAGCCCTGGCAGTGCGCGTGCGACGAGGGATGGGGCGGGCTATTCTGCAACCAGGATCTCAACTATTGCACAAATCATAAGCCGTGCATGAACGGCGGCACCTGCTTCAACACCGGCCAGGGCTCTTACACCTGCTCGTGCCCGTCAGGCTTCACCGGCACCGAATGCCAGACGCCGCTCTTCGACTGTCACTCGAAACCCTGCCTGAACGGTGGTACCTGCACGATGACCGAGTCGCCGTCCGTGAGCTACGTGAGCGGCAACGGCACGGAGTTATCGTCGTCCTCCAGGCAGCAGCATCGTCGAAGCTATCGCTGCACCTGTCCACCCGGTTGGCGTGGCCGACACTGCGAGATTACGACGCGATCCTGCCGGGACTCGCCCTGCCGACACGGCGCCACCTGCGAGGACGACTCTCTCCGCGGTTACGTGTGCCATTGCCCATCCGGTTACACTGGCACCGATTGCGAATCGCAGGTCGACGAGTGCTCGCCAAATCCCTGCGCGAACAACGGCACCTGCATGAACCACGTTAACAGTTACCGATGCACGTGCCTCGCTGGCTTCACCGGCGAGCGCTGCGAGATCAACGTGGATGACTGTGAGGGCGATCCGTGTCTGAACGGCGGCACCTGCAAGGATCAGGTGAACAGCTTCCGCTGTCAATGTATACCAGGTTTCGTCGGCAGAATCTGCCAGAACAAGGTAGACTATTGTGTGGCAAAACCGTGCGCGAACGGAGGCACATGCATTTCTGGGACCAATGACTATAATTGTACGTGCAAGCCTGGTTTCACCGGTAAGGACTGTAGCGTGGATGTAGACGAATGCTGGAGCGCACCGTGCCAGAATGGCGGCATATGCCGGAACCGTGTCAACGGCTTCTTGTGCGAGTGCCCGGACGATTGGCACGGTGACACCTGCAGCGAAAAAGCCGGTGCGGTACCTCCGATCACATCATCGTCCACGCCCGTGATATCGAATGTGCCGCTGGCAGAACCGTTCCCAGGCAACGGCCATTCGAAGCACGTCGCCTCTAGGAAAACTAGCTTGACTACGGAACACCTGGTGATGATCGCGACTCTTTCCACCGCAGTACCGGCTTTCGCGTTATTCGCTACAGTCGCAGTGATGTGCATGAAGAGACGACAAAAGCGAGAGCAGGCGAAGGCCGATGAGGAAGCGAGGCTACAGAACGAGAGGAACGCGGTGCACAGCAGCATGAGCAAGCGTAGCGCCAGTACCATCGGCGTCGGCGGCACTGGTATTGGCAGTGTCGGCGGTCTCCTTGGCAGCGGTAGCGGCTTAATCGGCGCGGGCGGCGGCAGCGTTTGTGCTCTGGGCACCGGTGACGCGCACATGATTAAGAATACCTGGACTGCGAGTAAAAGTGTGAACAATGTGGCATCGGCAGCGTCGCGGCAGGACGATCTGGATTCGTCCTTCCAAACTGATGTAACGCTGGACAGTTCGTGTTCGGGTTATAAACCAGAACCAGTGCTGCAAGATGGTCGGACTACGAGAACGACGAAACAGCTCAACACAGAGGCGGCAGCCCATCGGGCGTCTGCGCACCTCTTCCAGAAGGAGAAGGACTGTCTCGGCCTAGGTCTTGGTATCGGGATCTTGGAGAGTGCCAAAAGATCATCCGTATTTGCCACTACTGGCAATGTGGCGGACAGTTGTTGCGCCGCGGAAGCTGCACTGATGAAGAGGCCGACGACGATATCGGAAGCTAATAGCACCGGTGTCGTCAGTAGTAATAGTAATGGTCCACCGGGAAGCGGCAGTGCCGCGGACAACAGCAATTGCGGTGTGTACGTGATAGACGATCACTACGTCAGGCACGACGCCACGCTGGCGGCGACGCTCGCGACGGAAGTGTAGTAGACTTCGGACTCCCATTTAGAGTGATAGAGAGAGAGAGAGAGAGAGTGCGTGAGAAAAAAAAAAGAGAAATAGAACCAGTGCGTGTGCGTATGCGAATTGTGGATCTTGTTTTCTCCGTGCGCGTAAATTGACAGACTACCCCGTTCGATTTCCTTCGATTTTTCTCGAACAACGCCATCGCGATATCCTTCAGACCGCGACGCCTCGTCTCGGATGCCTGCAGGTGTTTATTTCTTTTTTCTTCCTTTTTTTTTTAAGTTTTTATTACATCTTTTTTTGCTAAAGCACTTGTGCATCCGCGATTGGCCGCCACTAGTCGCTGGTAGGACTCCGCGATTGAAACATCATTTCGAGGAGAAATACATACTGCATCCGCACCGCCGGCCAGTTTGACCAGCCACGAGGGTATGTCGTTCCGATTCTACTGAAACGAGAGCGACGACGGACTGATCGAAGACGTTCGATCGGGGTTGATCGAGATGCGACAGAAACAAGAAAAATTAACGCGATGCTGTGGGGGTCGGCGGTCGGTCAGGCAGCCGTCGACCCATCCTTAGGTATTAATATTATATCGTGCTCGAAAGTGAACTTTGTACAGAACTAATTTATTATTATTGTTATTTACTTATTGTATTACTGATTGCTATTAATTATTATTATTATTATTATTATTATTAATATTATTACGTGTTGCATTATCATTGTTCTCGGTATTAGTTCTTTTTCGAATTTGCGTGACTGAGCTGCCGACCGGAGCAAGAATACGACAGCGAAAGATCTTTCGTGTATATTATATTCGTGTGCGTGTGAGAATGAATGAGCATGTGTGTAGAGTATTTGTGCGCATGTGTAATTGCGAGCGAGAAAGTTTAACAAATTAGAATCTTCAGAATGACCTCGTCTTTTCGTAATCAGAATTAATTTTTCGTGTAACGCGTTGTCTCTTTTTTTTTCCTTTTTCTTTACAAAGCATTCCTTTTCTCAGAGTAAATATCGTTGCGCCGCAGGAACTTCCGCTTACAGCGACGAAAAGCATGAAAATTAATATTTAAAGTGACACTTCAAAGAAATGTCCCCTCGACTTTTTGGGATTCTCCATTTCAGACAATCCCATTCGGTCGAGTCCTTTAGACACCCGTTTTCCACGCCGCTTTTCAACTGGCTCAAAGGAACGTTTGGAAGAAAGGATGGAAAGCGGCATTCTTAACAAAATTCCGTCCTTTTAATCCAAAAACGTCATTATTCCATCGCGATTGATTTGAATAAATTTAATACATGGAATTAAAAACATAAATTTAATACATGGAATTAAATTGAGCGATGCGATAGTTTTCGTAGAAAATGATAAAAAAATGTCGTGTGTAATGCAGAAGGAAAAGCCCGAGCATGCGAAGCTTGTCGAGCCCATCTTTCACATATTTTCGTTCAATTCAATCCAACTGGAAGGGTGGGAGGAAAGGGTATATGATGATGGGAAATTTATTCGCTGATTTGATAAATTCCAAAGAAATCGCGCAGCCTTGGCTTTTCCTCGTTTAAAAAAAATCAATCTTCTACGAATCCTATGATCCTTATCCAAACGACGTGTACCGTTCGACGAGACATTGCTCGCGCTACGTACGACTGAAAAGACGAACAAATAGATGTGTAAATTATGCAGATATATATACATATATAGAGATCTATAAATAAATATATATATATATATATATAAATGAACAGTGAGAGATATAGAAACCCAGCGTCGTCGATGACAACGATGTTTCGACGATGATACGGTTTATTCCGAAGCGATTTGGCATCGAAATCGGCGAGAGAGACGAATCAAGAGAAATTAAAAAAACAATCATGTAGCACGAGAGAACGTTGGATTAAATGCCGATTAAATTTGATCGTGGTGCAACCTTCTTTTCTCGAATAACTCAAGTATTTCGCAGATACGTCTAAGATAATCCGGATAAAGCACTTGTTTATAAGAAAACATTCTGATCTTTCAGATATTTTTTTAAATACCTTGTGAACTCTTGCGTTGTTCCTTTCTAAGATTTATACTTATGAAAATCATTGATGAGCCGACGGTTGAACTGCGATTGAAGTTAAGATTTGGCGGATTCGATCGTCCCTTCTGCGTTTATTCGCATCGCGGACGAACGAGTCTGTGAAGTAATCGATTTGTATTATCTGCGTTCATTCGTGCGAGAAAGAAAAATCTATAGAAAAATCGCTCAGAAATAATTCGGCTATCGCGAATCTTCCATCATCTTTACCGCAACTAGCCGCACTTTTTTCGGCGGTACGCTCGCTGACTTCATCCACGAATGCGTGATAGATAAGTGACGATTATTGTATGTTGATGCTGCACGGTCGATGATGGTAATTAATTATTTATTTATGACTGCTGATAACGATTTTATACGGCGTAAAAAAAAAAACTAAATGGCGATTAGTGCGCCGATGACAGTGATGACGATATTATCGCGTGAAACGCGCGTGCGATATACGAAGAGTGGGAGAGTGAGAGAGAGTGAACGAATGAGAGGGAGAGAGCTGTAGCGAACAAAGATTCGATGATGTTCCTGTTACGAAATAATGATAATTAAATAAACGAAATGCAAGTACCGACTAAGTCAGGTTTATTTTCGGGTCTCGTTCGCGCGCGATGGCGCAAACAGGGTGTTTCTTTTTTTTCGCGTTTACATGACGGTCGTATATAATCGGTAACGTTTTATTTTAGGTAACGGCGACCGTTACCTAAACGATGTTACGTGTATCTACGATGACATTCGCGGCTCGATCAAGAATCGCGATTAATTCAATTCTTCCCTCTCCATGACTTCCATCTCCCAATCCTTTTTCCTCCACCCCGTCGAGCCCCCAACGGCCGCCGTCGCGCGCGTACAGACTCCAAATTAACGAGAAACGCGTGCGTGTAAATGCGAGATTATATTGTACGAATTACGATGTGTAATAAAGCTGTTGTCATTTTTTGTACTTACACTCCTTCGGACGATTTGATACGTCTCGCTATCGTTGAACAATCTCCATCATTCCCATCCGTCTTATCCCCTTGTCCCACTCCCGATTAGATTTTTTTCAACGACGTTTCGAACTTTTAGACTTTTGAATTAGAATTACTTCTTTTTTGTACCAGCGATGTGTTTTCATGTGAAAAAGGATATTGTTTCCCACTGATAGTGGCCTTTCGTTCGCGAGGAGGCATTTACGAAGATTGTAAAAACTATCCTAGGCGTACCGTACCCCGTTTTTGTATAAAACAGAAAGAAGATAATATGCACACAGCGTATACATACACTGACATACACGCAGCACATCTGTATATTTGTAGTAGGACTATACAATTGCGATTATTATTAATTATTAATATTATTATTATATGAAACGTGTAAATAGATGAATTGTCAATATAACGATGTCACGCAAACGACAGTGAACGATTAATAATGATACATTAAAAAAAAAATGAGCTCTCGTTTTTTCGTTTCACCTGCTTCCTCCTTAATCTTCGTTACATAATAAAAGTTTGATCGTGTTGTAAGTATACGATACTTAAAAAAAATATATATATATGTGTATAATATGTTCCGGAGGACTTTTTATTTCTTTGCGCAAATCAGAATAAATCTCTAATTTTAAACATTACAAATACCTCCATAATTAAAATTTATGCTTCAGCATTATAGTATAAGAAAAAAAATTCATGCGAAGCCTCTCGCTTTTAATATCATAATCCTATTTAAAAAAGGATCTTGAAACTGTTAGTTTAGCTCCTGTGGGAAGTTGTCCTGTTTGATTCTGGGACACTTCTTCGTATTACTTACCGCGAGCGCGCTTTCGAGGCCAGACCGATACCAGCACGCTCGTCGCTATTTCTGTGCTCGTCATCGTCGTCGTCGTCACGAGCAGTGCTTAAGGAGGCAGAACACGAAATACACCGCGCGACAACAAAGACCGCGCCGGTGTGCCAGCGTTGCACTCGCGAGAGCTCGCGTTGCTGCTGCTGCTGCTGCTGCTTGTGGGAAGATCGACGGGAGAAAGGGCCCAGTCGAACGGCAACGATGTCGAACGAGTCGAAGTCGCGAAGAGGAAATCGCATCATTGCGGAACGACGCGAGAGAGATAGCGGCCGATAAGCCGTACAACTTTATGTAACTATGCAAACCGCTCGCGCCGTGCATCCTGGATTCGAGACAGCGCATCGTCTCTTCCGGATTCGAGATATTGAAACTGGTCCTGCTGATGATCGTTGCGTGTCGTTCTTTGGTGATCAATACAAAAAGTATTAGGTATTTCTCGTAGTGCTTCAGCAAATAAACAATTATTTTCATCATTACTATAGATGAGCTATTTTAACTTCAAGCAAATCATTTCCAATATTACGTTACATTTGTATCACCCGAGATATTTTCATTCAAAATAAATAATTGAAAAGAGAGAAGTTTAAAATATTAACATAAAGGAAGCTGGAAAAATAAATATATAAATTCACACAGGAATCATACAAGAATTAAGATCCAGCTAGACTGTTTAAGGCTTTGATTTCTATAGTTTGTGTTATCACATATATACGGGTCTTATAATATATTATGGTAAATATATGTCAAGCACTCTTTGAGGAAGAGCCAGGATTCTATCAATTACATTGAAATTCTAACAATTCCAAAAAGAAAATGCTAATTCTCACTAAGGTAACGTCGATTCCGCGAAACACGATAGCTAATATCCGTTACGAGGGAAAAAGAAGTTTGACGTGATAAAATTGGATGTCACACCCGTGTAATCTTAATAACGAGCTGTCTCGTGCGGTCTCGTGTAAAACACGCGGTGTTTGTAAACGTCGCGCACTGCCGTGATCGTCGCCTACTAATTACGAAGCAGTTGTTAAACCGTGCGTTCGTTCATGCGCATACGAATGCGAGAATAACTCTTAATCCATTTGCAAAAATTTATTCAGTTACTATCTTTGTAATTATTTTCTTAAACGGGGTAACGGAATAGTCTAAACTGTTATTTCTCGTAGCGCTTTAGTTTCAGCAGATAAAATCATTTTTATTTCACGTATAATTACTACAAAGAGAGATTTAACATTAAATTTTCAATATTAAAAAGTTACGTATCGCGCGAGGTATTTTAATTCAAAATAATTAATTATATAATGATAAGAGGAATTATTATGTGATCATGATTGAAATGCGGCGCAAAGTCTTCCACTATACAGTCTCGTTGCACATCTTTGTGGTAAAAGGGTTTGGGTAATCAAGCTCGAAAGGATCGGCACACCGCGGACAGAAACCGGGGAACCTCGTGAAAGCCATCGAGGGACTCCAAGTCTGAAGTCCATCGGCCGAGAGCTACCCACGACTCATCGTGTCGTTATATACGCGATGATTATTACTTGCAGCGTTACTGCTGCTGCCGTTGCCGCTGCCGCTGCTGCAAACCTATTACGATTGCCATGGCATTCTTCGCGTTTGTCCTCCCTCTCTTTCTCTCTCGTGTTTTCTAGTCTCTCCCTCCTACATCTTCCTACACACCCTCGTCCTGTCTCCCGATGACGACGACAGCGCTCTATCTATC